ATTCTGGGAGTTGAAGTCCACTCATCTTCAAGTTGCTAAGGTTGAGAAACACTGTCTTAGAGGGAGCTTGGTCTCCAAGGAAGGGTGCCCTGGCCATCTGGAAAGTGCTTTTGGCTGGGCCTGCATTTGAAACCATCCAGTCCCCTTTAAATCAGAAAATATTGGATGGGTCTTTGTCTCTGTCCAAACATTTGGAACTAAGGGCCTGGAACAGGAACACATTTTGACTCTGGAAAAATTACAGCTCTTCCCTTTTGAATCAGGATTTTTAAACACACGGAGATTAGTGTCTCTGCTCCCTTGGGTGTTGCTTCAGGATCCTGAAGGCAGTGAACTGGGGCACCAAGGAGGCTTTTCTCTCTCTGCTGCTGTGGTCTTGAGCAGTCTTGGCTTGGTAAAGTTTGGGAGCTAAAGTGGGAGAGATGAGTCATAATGATCCCATTAATGCCCAGGAGATGAAGGATGGCTGGGTGATGGACCCACCTTTTCTGTCTTCTGTGTGGGGTCTAGCTGACCCACCCTGACGGTGTTCCAACAACACGCTGAATTTGGTCAATTCAAAATGGAGCGGCTGCATTCACACAGCAGGTTAAACTTGGTTATTTTTAACTGTAATTAGTTTGAGCGTGAGGTGTGAATCCTGTCTGTTGGCTTAGCTGGTGGTTCAGTGCATTCTCTGAACCCAGCAAATAGGTTAATTGAGTAAGCAGGCGAAGAATGTAGTTCAACTTGTAGAATCTAATATTACAAGAAGCCACGGTGGCTGCCTGCTTTAAAACAAGACCACAAATATGTGTCAAAGGTAGTCGGTCAGGACAGCCGTGTTTTAGAGGCTGTGCAGGACTGCAGGTTCGATACCTCAAAGGTGCTTTGAAGCACGAGGGGACGTGAACACAGCACCTGTCCAGAACTCGCTGCAGTAGCTGTTCCATCTCGAGAGAAGATGCAGCCACTTTAAGGAATTGCAGACAGATACTCCGTTTGTGCCCCTGTGTGATCCAAAGCACATTTTTTGGACTGAAGCACTGTGTGCCCTCCTACCTGTATTAAGGAGGGTTGTGGAATTGGAAGGTCGACCACATCCGTCTTCAAAACCCTTCTCATGACCCTCCGTCTATCTTCCGTTCTCTCTCGCTTTTGGGCTCAGCCCAGCATGCATACTCCTATGCACGCCTGGTTCATCATCCAGGCACTGATCCTGCCTGCAGGACCCAGTCAGTCCTGCCTTCACATTTTCCCCTTCTCTTCCTCCTGCTGTGTCAGCAGAACTAGTCCAGGGTTTTTCAAATACGGTTCTGCAGGACCCTGGAGCTCCAGGAGAACCTGAAGAGGTTCTGTTGGCAAAATCATCGTTGTCGTCATCATCATCATCATCATCATCATCATCAGAACTTTTCGTGATCAAGAGTTCTGAAAAAGTTTGAAAAGCCCTGGACTTTCTAGAGGTGCTAGATCTGGGTTGTAAACCTCCAGGCCACCATTACATGACAGCAAAGAATTACAGCACAGCAGTGTTGTTAAAGGCAGAGGGGAGGGGCCAGCAGTCAGGGTGGCCCCCAAAAGCTCTGTTCTAAGGGGCTGCCCTGTGATGGGGCCCTCCTGCATCGTGCAACCTCTGCTGTGTCTCGGCTTCCTTCTGATGAGAATGCTCTCAGCGATGGTGTGGAAGGTGCGTGGAGCAGGCTGGGGAGTGTGGGTTTCCCACTGCTGCCCTGTGGCTTGTGACACCTTTTGTTTGCTGCCCCCTCTGTTTCTGAGGTTCCCCCCCCTCAAAACTTATGCATCCTTCAGCTACCCCACGCGCTGTGCCTGGAGGCAAAACTGGAGTTAGGTGGTTTGTGGCTCAGCCTTTTGAGGGAAACCCAGTTGGGTTCTTAACACGTGGTGTGAAGGCTAAGCTGCATTATGGTTTATTTGTTTGGATGGTATGTGAACCTTGTCTGATCTCACAAAATTAAGCAGGGTCAGATTGGGTTAATATGGGAGACCGCTAAGATAACAGACTAGCCTGAAAAGTGGAAAAAAAGGTTGGGAAGAAGGCAGAGGCAACGTCTGTATTGTTCCCAAGAAGACTTCATGGATGTGTCCCGGAACGCTTCAAAAGTCAGGTTTGATTTAAAAGAGAATTTACCTTTCAGCTGGGTAAAATTGAGAATTTCCTTTGACTTTACCCTGTAATTGGGGTTTAGAGTTTAGCATGGTGTGTGAAACTCACCAATTGTATAACAGAAATACACGCCCTTCCCTGTTGAGACTACAGAAAGCCTTTCCCCCTCAATTACACAGGAATATGACCCTAAGAAAGGACTCTCAGAGCCTTTTTAAAAGACTTCTGATATTGCATTCTATAAATAATCCCCAAATCCAATACCTCTGCTTGGCAACGCAGTAAAACAGCAGCAGGACCGCTGCCAAGTCAAAATGTGTTAAATCTGCCTGTGCAATGCTTGTGGTGGCCTCCTGATTAAAGGGAGTCACGCTGGGAGGTATTTGAAATTGTAATAGCGCTGTGACGTGACTCTAAATCTTTCCCGTCTGCCGGGGGCTGCTTCTGCAGATGACAAAGCTTCAGCGGTCGGCACGCGGACGTGCATCTTTTTTGCAAGTGTGTTTATTTCCAGCGCTTGGGCTTGCTTGGTCTCCCGCTCAACTTGCTGGTCAGAATAACTCAGCTGTGGCAGTTGCTGACCTTTCATCCAGCACCTTGCCTGTCCCACGTGGGTGATTTTGTAGTGTCAGCCATTTGAAGGGGGTCCCAGAGAGGCAGTGGGCTCCCCTTTGCTGGTTCTGCTTAAGTCAGGGCTAGACAGCCACCAGCGGGGGAAGCTTTGAGATGGATCCCTGCCCTGAGAAGCGAGATGGACTTGGAGATCTTAACAGCCTTTTCCAGATCTCTTGACTTGCTCTGTTTGCTTCCCGGATAGGAAGGAAAAAATCAGAACCTCTTTGGAAGTTGTCGCTGAATGCAGTTTCGGCTCGGCAGTCTGCCAAATTGCAACGGAGAGAAGGCGGCTCTTCTCCCCTAAACTCTTGCTACCTATTGGCAAGCATGACAAGGGCAGAGGAGTTGACCCTCCATGGCTCCTTCATTCCTTGCCCCTGCCCGCCTCCCGGCCACAGCTTGACCTTCTTGCTAAGTAGCATCTGCATGTTCTAGAACAGAGGTACTTTTCTCCGTTCTAGAGGGGAAGGATCTTTTGCTCCTTAGGAGCAGCAGAGCTGATGCACTCACAACAAGGAGTGCGGCGTCACACTCTGCATGGTTGACGTGAAATGAACGAGGAAGTTACTTGAGAGGTTGTGTCTTTCGGCATTCTTCACCGGGTTTGTATTTTGGATTATTTTTCTTTTGCTTCATTAAACAGACAATCATAGCCACAGCGTAATAGTGGTTTAAATGAGGACCATACAAATAGCAAACTCATCTTTTAGTGATAAAAATATTAAAAACCACAGGGTCTGAATTTAGAGTTCACCATATGAACAGTCCATGCATGGTTTAAAATTTTAAAAAATGCCTGGAAAATAACAAAACCCACATTCTTTAATGATCCAATTCAGCTTTTTATCCCGGTGCCAATACAAATAGTTTGCTGCCAGTAGAAGCTGGTTTGCCTGTTTCTTTTGTGCCACTTCTTTGAATCCTGCCCAGGGCCAGCCTTCTTGTTAGGTAGAGAGGGACAGATGCTGGGGGTGGCACTGTGGGCAGGAGCGATGTGCAAAGGGGAAGCTGTCCCATTGATAGCATTGAAGGAAAATAGCCTTTTGCACACAGATGAGTCTTTGCTTGGGCAGCTAAAGGTCTGGGGCTGTCCCCGAATTATTTATTTATTTATTTATTTATTTATTTATTTATTTATTTGATTTCTCTCCCGCCCATCTCCCCTACAATAGGGGACTCTGGGCGGGTTACAGAGAGAATAAAACTATAAATATACATAAAATACACCCCATATATACAATTAAAACAATACTAAAAACAAAAAATCCAAGAAGATGGAAAC